CCCCCCCCGCTTCACCCTCCGCGATATATAGCCGTTTTTGCTTTCAGTGAACTTGCCTTAACCTCAATCAAATACAAACGATATTATCATGTCAAACAGATTTATGTTTATTTGGGTTTTTTTTCTTTTATATTTTCCCTTCGCACATTCCTGTTCTTACTTCCGTCTTCAAAGTGGCCCCAGCATTGCGTGCGGTCCGTTATTTCTTTTATGTTTCCTTCTTTTTCTTCTTGGTGGAATTTGCAATCTTGCATCTGAGGATCTGCAGATAAAAAAAGGAGAACTTCTAGCTCTGCGTCCTTGACCGTATCTGCACAATTAATTACACTCGGCTTGCCCCGTGGCTGCATTATGCAGTAGAAGTCAAGATTGAAAAAAAAAACCCCAACCTGGACGTATCGCTATGCTCTCGAGACAGGGTGGTGAAGATGGTGAGTGCCGAGAGGCATGATAGACACATCTGATCATTTCTTGAGAAATGTACACATACATATTGTACTAAATTTGTATTAAACTCCGATGGTGGGTGGTTGGCGGGTGCTCTGGTGTGGTTTGATCAGTCTTTCTTATCAAACATCCGTCTTCCTTATGTCTCCTAATTTTTTTGTTCGATACTCTTTTGTAACACATCTTATTGTGTTGCAAGTGCTGTAAAACTATTACAAAAAAAAAATAAAGTTTGTGATTTACTTGTCAGACAGGTCGTTATTCATACCATACATGTATTTAGTTCATTTCTTTTTTCATACATTAATTTCCCCTTCCTTTAGTCTGTCACTCCATCAATCTGTTCTTTTTTCTTTTTAGGTTGATTTACGAATTTAAAAAATCGATTAGTCCGTCTAATCAATTATTTTTATGCTTTCATTCATCCATTTATCCTATAGTCTGTAAAAGATACATAACTTTGAGAAAAATACTAACTCTCTAAGTCGTCATGTTTAGCCGAAGAAAGTGGGTGGTAGGCGGGTGCTTTAGTGTGGTCTGTTCCTTCTTTCCCATCAAGCGTTTATCCTACGTCTTTTTTTGTGTTTGTTCCTATTTTGTATAACCTCTAGTCTTAGGCATTTATGTAACCTTATTGTGCTGCAAGGGCCGTAAAACCCTATAACAGCCAAAGAAACAGGAGAGGGAGAGATTATCTTAAATATAATTTGTTCGCAAATCCAAAGTTTTTGGGATAAGGGAGGTAACCAAGGAAATTTGAATGCTTGGATGGTGAGGAATCAGTTCAGTTTCTTTGCCCGACATGCGCCCCTATCCAGCCTCTCGTTCCTCGAGGGGTCGATAGATGTATGCCTATAGTTTGTCTACGTTACAAGCCATTGTCTACTGTACGAATGATGGTTGTTGGATTATATTGTGCGTGCGTGTCTGACTGTTTGTTTTTGCATTTTTTTATATAGAAAGTGTTGAATTGAGGGCGCTGGTAGTTAAGTTTCTGTTTCTCTTTTCTTTCCCTTTGTTGTTTTTGTCTATCTGTCTTGCCTTTTTCCCCACCACTAAATGACTGTTGTTGTATCGATGCTGGATGTGCCTTTCTTTACTCAAACAAAACAAAGCAACACAAAACAACACAACACAACACAACACAACACAACACAACACAACACAACACAACACAACACAAAACAAAACAAAGTTTAAAAAAAGAAGAAACTTGATAAAAACAAAAACAAAAATTAAATAAAATAAAGTTCATAATAAGAATAAGCATGATATTTCTCCTCTCGTCCCCAGCATGTCGGCTCTGCACCAGGCTGCCCTCATGTCCAGCACGCCCATGCTCAAGACGCTACTGGACAATGGCGCTTCCACAGGACTCCGGGACAACAAGGGTGGGTGCTGATAGCTGGGCCCTGCTTGTTTGTTGTATTTTGTTTCGTTCTTCTCTCTCTCTCTCTCTCTCTCTCTCTCTCTCTCTCTCTCTCTCTCTCTCT